AAGCTTCTCGAACACTACATGTGTGGTTTGGGCTGAGAATTGCTGACAGTGTAACAGGTGGCCCTCCGAAATTCTTTCCATCTGTTTTTTGGAAGTTCTTCGACGCCAAAGTGATGCCAAAGGGTAACTGGCAAAAGCAGTGTCGGCCATAAGGGGTGATGAATGTCGTCAACTCTTAGGAATCTGCAGAGGACTTCACCTGGTGGAAGCTTGCGGTTGCATCCAGCTTTGAATAAACTGTTGCATCACTGAAGAGGCCAAGGACTTGCTCGACATTTTTCAGAATATTGCGTTCACGGAGGACGATTTTGTTCAGTTCAATCAAGTCAATGCTTAACCAGTTGGAACCATTGTCTTTTCGGACGATGACGAGACCGAAGCACCACGAAGTTGGTTCATTAATCCTGCAGATTACATCCTTGCTTTCCATTTGGTCCAGTTCGTAGTGGACGACCTGGGGTGGAGGTGGGTATCCTGCAGGGATGCTTAGCGAGAATGCACAGCATTAAGTTTCAGTTAGATATTGTTCTCGTCCTTCAGAGTGCAGTTTTGTGTGTTTTCGGAGTTTTGAGTTCGTCCAGAAATTTTACAACTTTCACTTTCAGGGCTTCAAGCTCTGGCATTCCCAAAAGAGGCTGTCAGGAGACTGAATCACATATAACGACTGGCAGCTTGTTTTTTCTTGTCACCAAAGTCGTGCGAATACAAGCCTTGCACACCAAGTGGCTGTCCTCCAGGGTTGTTGAGCCTGTCCGAGCTGGGCAGTAAACGTAGGGATGTCACTCGGTACAGCAGAAACTTTGCCGCTGGAGTCCACATTGAACTGTGCTGCGTAGTTGTCAACAGTGACGTTGACGAATTTTGCCACAGAAGTCGTCCCGACGTCATGCAGGTGAACGGAGCCGAGCTTATGCTTGTACTTCTGTGAGCGACATACTTCAATGATATAGTCATTCTTTTTGCAGCAGTTTTAGGCGGACTGTCCAGCTGGACAATCCGAATGTTGATGAGGGGCATGGCCAAAGAATTCACTGGGGGACGGCTCGCATAAGGCGCGAGACAGGCAGTGCGATTTTCCGTGCGATGCGGCGTGCAATGCGACGATGCGGCAGCCATAGTGGTGACTTTTCATGATGTTTCATGACTTATCATTGCATCGCACCGCCACGTAGCCCGTAGAGCATCAAGCCGGCCAGATATTTTCGTCGCCGCATGGACACAGCCAATCACAGCGCGAGGAGATGAGTGGCGTCACACTGCTGGTGGTGCCATCTCTCCGTCGCCACTTCCATCACCCATGGTCCAAGCCAGTTCAGGCTAATCGATAGAGTGGCGCGAGTATTTATTGACATCGGCACTTGCGGCGCTGTGACAAGCGTCGAGTACATTTTCCTTGTGACGTAAAATTATTCCGTATTGAATAATGTGATGTTTTAAGTGTGCCATTTCTGAAAGACAACGGCCGTTTTGAAACCGATAGCGAGATCAGAGATCGTGAGCAGCGATGCAAGGTCATTTTGCAGGTAAACACGGCTACACTGACGTCTCTGAGCCGGCTCGCTTCGCTTCCGCCTTTGCTTTTCATGTCGAACACATCTAGGAAGTAATAGTGTATGCTAACGCATTACATACCCTTGCAAAGCCTAATAGTGTCGTCAAAAACAAGCGCTCAATGACGAGCTCGCGAGTAAGTGGTATAGGCGACGGCCGGTGCTCGCCATGCTAGGCCTACCTGTCGGAGTCGTGAATAATCAGCTGTTACTGCTGTTGCGACGTGCTTGTCGTTCACGGAGGCATTTCATTAATTATTTTTTTATAGAACGAAGCATGGCTGTGCAATGTTATTTGTGTTTTGAGCTTCATTACGAGGATACAAAGTCGTCCGACCACGAATGCCGAGGTGCCGCATGGGAGTCGAGCCTGCTGCTGATAGCTGATTCGCCCCCGTGTGTCTCGAAACGTCACATGTGGCATACAGCACATGCGACACCGCACGCAGCATCGTACAGAAAATTTCACGGCTGTCTCGCGCTTAAGTGCTTTGCTTGTGGCTGGGAAAAAGTAGGCTTAGCTCCGAAGCGACAATGAGACTCTGGCTTAACTTTTGCGACGTCGAGGTTGAGCTCACGTGTGCGCTACGTGTGGTTCTAGGACAGCTCCAACTCTTTGTCCTTTCTGGACTGACAATCCGGTGTCCGTGCCTCCTTGAGCCTGACATTTTCACTTTTTGGCACAGAGCCCAATGACGAACCGGTTGCATACGAGCTTTTTCTAGGCTGCAGCTGACGGTTTGCTGCAATGCTTCACCATCCTGCACAGTTCTGCGTAGTACAGGTTGACTCTTTCGTCAGCAAACAGAACACGTCTGTCGAACAGCGATGACTCGTAGAGCTTATTCCCCAGATGCACGAAATGCTCAGTGAAGCAAGCGGCAGCAACTTGGTGCGAGACGAGCGACTGAGCGTCGGGCCAGAATGTCTCGAGGAGCGGACGGGCCTCCGGGCTCATGCAGTACAGCAGCGAGCCTATCTATACGTCTTCTGACGCTTTTGTCAGTCTCAAAGTCTTCATAGTGGCTGAGTCATGTTGCCTACATTTTGCCGGCTTCGTGAAGTAGAACGGTGCTGGTGGCTGAAAGTTGACGCTGTACAGTTTGTGCGGCTCGCCGGTCTCATGGGACATTGTGTGTCGTGCTGTCAAGGTGAGGCGTAAGACGGGGGGCATTACTCCTCCACTCCTGACTCCTCGTCATCCGATAGATGAGTTTCATAAAAGAATTAGTTGGAGTGCCATCAGTATCAGTACTTATAGTCAATCGCAAAAGTTTGCGGACCATGCGGGCACGTGCGAAACTGTCTGTCTGCACCACCTAACGATAAGTCATCTACTGTCGACCGCAGTGCTTGTCCAGAAACACGTCTTGTTAATCACTGGCCTATTAATTTTATACTATTGCTTAGGGCATTGTTAGTTCGCATACTTCACGCGAAGCACATTTTTGCGGGATGACTGTCACATTTTGTCTTCACAGCAGGATCAAGGCTATCACAGTGTATCTCGAACAGCATTTTGTTGGCCAGGTATCACTTTGTGATAAAGACTGTGACTTGTAACAGTTATGCTCATAGACTGCTCTCGAGGCAGAAGCACATGCCAAAAAGCATGTTGTATTAAAAAGTGAAAGGTGTAATTATTTGTCAGTAAAGAAACAGGCCATAGATTTAAGGGAGGAACGCTGCTCGGGTGCTGGTGTGCTATCGATTGCCGTTTATGTAGCGGAAGTGTTCCAAAGAAGCTTTTGGCCACGTGCTTGCGTGTTCTCTAAACTTTTTGTGTCTACTCTACATGCAGGAAACTGCCAACAGCCGCTATTTTGCATGAGCAGTCCTGTGCGTTCGTCCAGCATGCATACCAGTTGTATGACACAATATGTTCACATCGAAATTAAACATCTATCTAACTCACACGAGCACCACATTTTATGTTTTTTCTTTGTTTTCATGCACAGTGGCATCATAGCGCAGAGTTGCTTAAACATTTTGGGGCTTTCATAGCGCTTCTGACAAAAAAATACCGAAAGGGAAATCTGGCGCCACCGTCTATTGCGAATTTCTTGAGGAGCCCTGTTGAAGTGTTGGGAATGAAGGTGTATGTGTCTGCGAAGCTTGTGTTGGCTGGTGTTGAGCAATGCTTGAGCTCAAAAACAGATATGACTACGCAAATAAAGTTTCTCTAAAACGAAACATCCAATAATTGATTTCTTGCACATATATTTATTACAATAATAAAGAAACTGGGAAACGATTTAAACTCCAACCAAAAAAAGTAAACTCCAACCAAACGGTTAAAAAAAAAAAAAAAAAAAACTGACGATGAGCAGTGGCTGGGAGGAACGGTGGCTTTGTCGTCTGTGTGCCACGCTTAGCAACTGTTCGTTAATTTTTACGCTTTGTAAAATTGTATATCGACGCAGAAGTTTTCAATAATAAATAAAGCTCATTTTGGTGGGTTTATAAAAAATGAGCTTACTTCATGCTCGTTTAATACCAATGTGGTTATTTTGACGCAAGGAACGCGCTGAAGCCAGATGCGCCCCGCCATGGTGGCCTAGTGGCTAAGATACTCGGCTGCTGACCCGCAGGTGGTGGGATTGAATCCCGGTTGCCGCGGCTGCATTTTCGATGGAGGGCAGAAAGCTGTAGGCCCGGGTGTTCAGATTTGGGTGCATTATAAAGAACCCAGGTGGTCGAAATTTCCGGAGCCCTCCACTATGGCGTCTCTCATAATGATATAATTGGGATGTTAAACCCCACATATCAATCATCAATGAAGCCAGATGCATCTTCGAAGTGTCCGGGCTCTACATGAACGATACTAATCAAAGTCAAGTTCGAAGTTGACATATCCCGGCACGCCCATGAGTCCAACAGCTTGCAGTACCACTTTTTTTCTCTAGGAAACTCTATGGGGGCTTTTCACAGTGTTGCTCGTAGCTATGCAACTCATCTATGTCATCCCACTTCTAACACCATGTCGCGTGGTTAGATTTAGAGGGGCCACGCTTCAGTGGCAGCCTAATAAGAGCTGAACTGTGGCGACCTCTACATTTTTGTGTTGCATTGAAGCGTGCATGTGATATTCGATGTAAACAGCAGGATTGGCGGTTGTTCTCTGACTGCTGGTTTTTTGTATTGTTTACACTAGACCAGCTTTTCGGGGTGGCTCATAGGTGAAAATGTTCACTAAAATGTGGCAGTCCTACTACTCCAAGTGATCCCAAACTCCACTTTGTCTGCTTCAAACCTGCTCTGAAGCAATTTTTTCCTGCTCTAAAATACCTGTTTTTCTGCTCCAAAATTGAAACTGGCTGGAGCACCATCGCTGTAGTGAACAACAAATACAATGGATGGAAAGCTGTTACCAAGAAAACAGAGGCGGCTGTTCTCAAAGTGCTGTGCTTGTTATATGGGGCTTAATAAATGCTCTGTTTGTTGATGCAGGTGCTGGAGCGGCGTTCAAAGCCTCTAAGCATTGCTGTGAAGCAGGAGCCTACAGAGTGCAACCGTAAGTTGAGTCTGCCTTGGAGCTGCTGCAATATACTGCCACATGTACATGCATACCTCACAATATCTGCTTGCATGGGAGCAGAAGAGTGCGGTCATTTTGTGAGTAAATACGGGGCTTTACTGTTAGAAGGGTCATCGTAATTGCTGGCACCACAATTAGCCATGGAGGAGACCAGGCTTAGAATAGTATAACACTCCATCCCACCGAACGCGTGTGCAGTATTGTGTGCAAAGGTACTCATCTTTTTTTTTTCTGCTCCAATGATTGCTCCCAATCCTGAACGGACTGGACCACCAACTGCTGAGAGTTGACATCTCTGCAAAAACCAGGAATTGAGTATAGATAAGCAATAGGCCTCAAACAGTGTGAGAACTTTGTGCATATACATTTTTTAAGACTACACATGATTAGCCATTGGTGGCACCAGTGTCATATGTGTTTACAATCAACCTCTAAAGCTTGTTGGTTGAGGTTGTTAATGATAGTTCAATAGAGGACACTGTTCTTGGCAGTCAAATATTATCTGATACACTTGAAGGCAGATTTTTTTCTTTATTCTTTATTCATCAGATACCCCGCAGCACCCGAAGGCGTTATAGCAGGGGGGTTACATCAATAAATGAAGTACATCTCCGTTCACCGACACAATACAACTTTGTTCATACATAAATAACTGAAATACATTTTCGTTCACACACATAGCAGAATTTTGTTCACACATAATATATCTTCGTTAGGTTACAGCATGGGTTTACAGCAGTGAATAAAATATATCTTCGTTCCCACTATGTACTTGCATTTCAGTTAGCCTGTTCCACTGTTTAATCGTTCTAGGAAAAAATGAATTGGCATACATGTTCGTTTTAGCTGGGTATTCCCGAATTTTGCAACTATGATCAAAACGTTTTGAAGTGTAATGAGGGTTGTGTAGGTATATTTCTCTATTAATTCCAGTTTTATTGTAGTAAATGCAGTAAAGAAATTTTAATCTCTGCTTCTGGCGGCGGTCAGAAAGACACTCCCATCCTAGCTCAGCCTTCATTGCAGTGCAGCTCTCCCCCCTTCCGTACCGTCCCAAGACGAACCTTGCAGCACGATTTTGTATTTGTTCCAGAGCAGCAATGAAGGTTACCTCGGCGGGGTCCCACACGACACAACTGTATTCTAAGATAGGCCTGATACAAGTAGTGTATGCCATACGTTTTAAATTCACATGCGAACATCGCAGGTTTCTTTGAATGAAATTTAAAGCCTTACCAGCTTTGGCTATGAGAGTGTCAACCTGAGGCCTCCATGAACATTCAGATGATAGTATTATACCTAGGTACTTATATGTACTCTCTTGTTTCAACTGTACATTGTTCAGATGGTACTGTGACTGAAATGGTTTCATCTTTTTGGTAAATGAAATATGTACACACTTTGTTATATTCAAATTCATTTTCCATTTGGTACACCAGCTATAAATGAGCGATAAGTCTTTCTGAAGTTCTAATACATCATTGTGATCAAAAATTTTTCTGTACACAACACAGTCATCCGCAAACAACCGTATAGAAGATGAAATTCCTGCAGAGATATCATTAACATAAATTAAAAACAATAGCGGACCCAGGACGGAGCCCTGTGGGACCCCTGAGGTAACATCGGTGTACTCGGAGCATTTTCCATTCAGTACTACGGTTTGTGTTCTTTGGGAAAGGTAACATTCGATCCATTTAAAGACAGCCTTATCAATGTTCAGGGTGGTAAGTTTAAACAGTAAGAGTGAATGTGACACCGTGTCAAACGCTTTCCGAAAATCCAAGAACACACCGTCAACCTGTCCCACAGTATCTACGCCCGATATTACGTCATGATAAAATTCGACTAATTGTGTTGTGCAAGACAGCCCTCTGCGAAATCCATGCTGCTCGTTGATTAGTACCTTATGCTTGTTTAAATGAGTTAATATTTCTTTGTATAAAATATGTTCGAGGATTTTACACGGGATAGACGTAAGCGATATTGGTCTATAATTACCGTCTTTTTTGGACCCACCTTTATGTATGAACACTGATGAATGAACACTGGGGATATGTCTATTTGTTAACTCGGAAAGTATATTCTTAAATTTGTCCCACATATCATACACATTGCCCTCCTCAAAAAGACATTCGAAAACAGGGAACGAATTACGAAGTTTTTTAGAAATTGCATCGTAGTCACCCTTGTCATAAAAGTAGATCCTTCTACTCGTAGGTAACTTCGCACACACTTTTTTCTTTTGGATACAAGCAACAACAGCAAGATGATCACTAATTCCTGGAATCACAGTCACGTCATTTACGAAATTTGGCGAGTTACAAAACAACAAGTCTAACACAGCGTCATTGCGAGTAGGGGTGGTAACGTACTGCGTCAGACCAAACCTGTCGACGATATTTTTCATCGCACGGTTCATGCGCCCGCTTATACTTATACAGGAACCATTACCCCAGGATAAGCCAGGCAGATTAAAATCCCCCCCTAGGAGTATTGTCTGGGCTGATGCTTCGGAAAGAATTTCATCTAATGTTTGCATTACGCTACTATCTGAGCTCGGCGAGCGATAAACCACTCCGACCAAAAACGCGAAGTTATCAGGCAGTGTTATCTAGCACCATACAGACTCCAGTGTGTCGCACTTATAATCAACTTCAAATGACTGTAAGCAAGAACGAACAAGTAAAAAAACGCCACCACCTGCTGTGAGCCTATCTTTACGATAGACGACGTAATTTTGCGGAAACACCTCACTATCAGCAATCGAGGGCTTTAGCCAAGATTCTGTACCAAGGACTATATCTGCGTTAACACTCTCAATTAGGCCCAAGAGCTCAGCAACTTTATTAACTACGCTGCGGCAGTTCACGATGACGGCAACAAGTTCTTGACATCGGTATTTCTCCTTTTTTCTAGTTTGTCATCGCCTGCTTACTGGGACGACCTGTTCTTTTTCGTCATCCCACCTGAAAGCCCTGCCGTTAATAATCAGTTTGTCAAAATTCAGCTTCACTTTATTGCTCTTATCCTGTCTTTTTGTCTTGGCATATTCCCACAGCTTATTCCTGATACTTCTTGTCTCATGTGAGTAATCTTCACTAACGCTGTATTGGGAATTCTTGAATCTTTTGGCATTGAGAAGCACTGCCTGACGCTCTTTGTACAATGAGAATTTAACAATAATTGGCCTCTTCTTATTCTCATTATAGCGTCCTAAGCGATGTGCCCTTTCCACAGACTCGAGTTCCATTCCAAGGCTCGTTTTGCAAATATTCTTTATTATAGCTTCGGATTCATCCCACGATTCTGAGGTTTTATCATCAACGCCATAGAAAACAAGATTTTTCCGGCGACTTCTGTTTTCGAGGTCATTTGTTTTCTTTTGCAGATCTTTCACCTGTTGCATGAGTTGCCGTATTATAGCTGCCTGCTCAGTTACAATCTTGCTGAGGTCCCTTATCTGGTTCTGAGTTTGGCTAAGATTATCTTTTACTTCCATCAGTATGTTCTCATTTTTTTCGAACCTGGATTCAATGCCGTTTAATTTTGAAATTAAAGTTTCCTGCCCACTCTGCAAACATTTCAGCACTTCCATCTCCGGTGTCTTAGCAGGACCTGGGTTCAGTTCAACATCTCCCGCGAGTATTAACAACAAAATCAAATACAGAACTCTGTTAGAAAATAATCGCAATCTCTTCAGACGCGACGTATGCATCGTGCATCCGTGGTTTTTGTTACGAACAGTTAGCAACGTGGGAGGAGCCGGCAATGCATATACAAGTCTCCGCGATTGAGATGGGTAGTAATGACTAACCTGCACCAGCAACAGTTGCATCAGCGACATGTCGGCAAGTGTGCCGGCTCCAAATCCCACGAAGCCATCGTGCTGAGTGCCTATATACGCCTGATCGGCACCACGTGAGTTCTGTTGGCCCGAATTCATTGGTTGATCCTTGCTGATCCATCCGTGGCTCGGGCCACACGTGCCTCTGACGACAGATGATGACCCATGCACACGTGTGGACGATAGTCGAGATACTGTAGATGCCGACCAAGGATCAGACAAAAAGGGCTGTGTCCGGCGCTCCGCCGCATCGAAGTGGATCGCAGAAACCAGCAGCAGAGGTACCTGCACCAGCAACAGTTGCATCAGCGACATGTCGGCAAGTGTGCCGGCTCCAAATCCCGGCTCCAAGATTATTAAAGGGGACCTGCAACACTTCTTGAGCATGGTCAAAAAACACCAATTGGTAGTAGAGGCTCCTGAGAACACGCGAGCCAAATATTTTACAGTCGAATCTCATCAATTGGAACATGCTAATTCGAATTTTGGTTAATTTGAATTCACGATGAGGTCCTGTCAAAGCTATGTGTATTCTAATGGGCGAAAACGCTCAGTAATTCGAACGCGCAGGCACTTGCAGCAGTTAATCCGAACATACCGCGCTCTGAAAATGCTCTCAGCACCCCGCCCAATCCCGGGGCCGCACCTCCGACACCTCAACGCTGTGCGTGAAGGAAAGGAAAAAGAAAATAAAAAGGCTGCACTGGATTGTTTGCTCTCTTTCAAATGCTGATCCATGACGCGCCTGTGCCACGCTTCTCCCTTTTTCACCCCTGATACGTAAAGACCCTTCTCCTTCCAACGTCGCGCGCAAAGAGAGTGAGGAAAAATAAAAAAGAAAGCTGCCACGAAGTGTGGCTCTTTCTCTCGCGCTAGTGCCACGCTTTGCCCTTTCCCGTCCCTGCCACGTAACCTTTCTCGAGAAAGAGAAGAAAAAAAAGCTGTAGTGAAGTGTTGGTGCTTTCTCAAATGCCGATCTGCTTCTTTCCGCGTGGAGATGTTCCTCCTTTCTCGGAATGTGCTGGCGACGCTGCGGCTTTGGCCCAGAGGGTAGTAGCGGAGAAGCAGTCGTTGTTGTCGTCGTCTTTAGAGGGTGTCGGTGCTGGACATTTCCGCGTGCAACTTCTCT